GCGCTCCCGCACGCCCGCCATGCCGCAGGACAGATGGTATTTATAGGGCTGAACACAGGAAGCTTGGGAAGGGCTGAAGGGCAACCATCTCCAACCGTGACCCAGCTCCAAGGGCAGCAGGGCAAGAGCCCAGCTCCACCCTCGCTCGTTGCACACTCAGCCAACAAGCTCAATAAAACGTCTTTATTCTGTACATTTATATATAGATGCTTGGGGAACAGGGACAACTCCCAGCATTAGAAAAATTCAAGACAACAAAACAGCAATTACAAAGAGCATGGCACCAAGAACAGTCATGCCACAGATGGTAGGGACAAGGTGAGACCAGCCATCAGCTGTTTCAGAGAAAGTCACAGCACCCCAATGCCTGTTTTGGGGCAGAAAACACCAGAGCTGCTGCAAACAGCTGGATCCCCCTCCAACCCCCAGGCAGCTGTTTGTGACCCACTAGCACCAAAGGGAGGAGCCGGCTAGCAGCTGGGTCTGTCCTTCTTGCAGTCATGGGTGAAAGACCATGTCACCGTAACACCCAGACCGCTGCCAAGATGGGAAGAAAGAGGGATCCTGCTTGAGCAGCGACCCTGGTCCAGCAGCACCTGCCTCCCTGCTGGGATGAGGGGGAAGAAGCAGGTCTTCAGCTGGGTCAGTGCTCCTCACAAGGGACAGGTCACTCCTGCCGTTACTGAGCTGCCTCTGAATCCCTTCACCAGTGCCACCATCTCACCAGCTTCTCCACCACGCCTCAGCACGCTCCCCACAGGGTGCAGCCACCACCTGCTGCCCAAGCACAGCCCAGTGGAGAGCATGGCTGCCTGTGCCAGCAGCCCAGAGGCAGAACTTACTCCCCGCACAGTAGAAGGGTAGTTTGGGTGTCCAAGTGCTATCACAGGCCCTCGCCCTTCTCGGTAGTCTGGGCTGGCAGGCCACCATGCCATGTGACAGGGCTGGCTGAAGGCCCGTCGCTCACAGCTGACACCTTTGTTGTAACAGTCAGGGATAAACCCAAAAGCCTATGTAGAGCTGTACAGCCCCCGCTGCACCCTCCAGGCTACAAGTAGCCCAGAGCAACAGTCGCACCGGGCAGCCGCACCACGGCGAGCGAGGAGGCAAACGTGCTCCACTGTGTGCAGAGTCCTTGCTGGCAACCCCAGCTCTCTCTGACAACAAACCCTAGTGGCAGGGCAGAGAAAACAAGTCTGTCTTGAGGAGAAACAAATAAAATCACTGTCAAATCACATCTAAACAACAGAAATCACCTGGCTCTGTGATAACAACAGAGCCCGTCCTCCTCACACTTTAAGGCAAGCAGGTGAGGAGCAAGCTGGGCCAGGCCCTGAACAGCCACACCAGGGAGCCCGCTGCAAACCGCTGCTGCCCACACGCCGGTGACACCTCCAGTGAACGTCCGTGGAAACAACCTGCAGGTGCCAGCGCAGGCCCGGGCCTGCTCTGCTCCACAGAATGGCCTCCTGCCCAGCTGCTGCAGGGAAGGGATGCAAGTGCAAACTCTGCCTTCAGGCCGTTAGGTCGGGAGGCTGTGCCACCTGGAGCAGCCACAGCTTCCCAGGAGTCAGAGAGCAGGATGCTGAACGAGTGTTACACACGTGAGTGGGGAACAGGACACTTGTCCAACAGTAAAACACTCAGATTAGAGTAATGCAAAACCAACACGCAAATGGACACACAGCAGATTAAAGTCAACCAAGATTAAAACGGTTAAAAAGTGTCCTGAATGCATTTTGAGAGGTTCAGTTAACCCCTGCTGTGGGCAGCAGGGCCTCTTCCATCCCCTGCCCAGAGGGATGTGCTGCAGGATGACTCAAGAGAGGATTGTTATCAATCCAGTGCTCAGAGAGCAGAAACAGGACCAGAACTTATGTCAGAGATAGGAAAATGTTCCTCTGCTGCTAGTCTTCAACAGTTCTGCTCTTCCCAACCAATAATTTTCAAACAATAAACAAAGCCAGAACTTGCCTGCCGAGGTCTGCAAGTGCCTCTGATCTATTCTGAAGGAGGGCAGGGCAACGAAGGCTGCAGGCGACGTGGAGAACATGCTCAGCTTGCCCCACAAACAGCACTGCATGAGAGAAACTCTCCCAGGCTCCATCTCCCAGCGCGGAGGAGGGACACCCACGCTAGAACGGGACAGCAGCAGCTCCAGGCATCGCTCAGAGAGCCGTGGGAGCTTCCATCCTTCTCCCCGGCTGCTGGTGAGTGGACATCTCTCTGACCTAGTGGTAGTCAGAAGCTCAGCTGTCCAGGCCCCAGGGAGTCCTCCAGGCCATTGTCTTTGGTGGTGATAGCTTGGAGGTCAGTGACATGTCCAATGCCTTTGGTGACTCCTTCACGGAAAAGCAGCTTGGCTCCAACCTTCAAGTACTCAGGGTGCTTGATGAACCTGAAACGGACGACTGCCTTCTCCCCTGTCCGCAGCTTGTCCTGAAAAGAAAAAGGAAGAGCTTAGATCCATCTGCCATACCCGTGACATGGAGGAGAGGTGCATGTGGCTGCTAAGAAGGTAAGACAAATGAGCAGGTTGCCTCCCTCAGACTGCATGGCTTGAGCCCTGCCTATGACTGTATGCTTAAGGGGAGACAAGAAGACACAAGCTCTGGAGAACAGAGAGTTCACCCCCCTTCACAATCTTGCTGTAGTCCATAATGCTGCTTGTTTTGTGAGGAAGGAATTCTCTAACATGCTGGGAGGAAGAACGATCGAATGAGCAGGATAAAGGGATGGAGTGTGCTTCTAGGAAGGGGCGAAGCTACTCAAGACACCAGTAGCCCCTAGTTTTACTAAAGGGTATGGTGGAATCCAAACCAACCCCACAGGAAGATCCACTTTCCTCACCTTTCCTCCCAGTCCTACCTTTCCATGGATCTTCTCTACAATAGCAGTCTGTCGCACATTCCCCACGTGCACCGTCACCTGAAACCCCTTCCGGAAAGTCGTGGCATGGAACAGCAGCACTATCTCGGCTTCAAACACTGAGCAGATGGTGGGATTCATTTCTGGGCTCACCATGACCATGCCCTGCACAACAACCCAAAGCTCAGATCAGTTAGGGCCGGTCCTCGTGCTTCTGAACAGTCCCCAAAACCACAAATACGTTTCTACTCCGCGACCCGGGCGTGCATCCCGTTCTCAGCCTTGTGCTCATCCTGCTTTGTCACCCGGCCATTACCCCCCCTTCCAGCAAGTTTCCTGCAAACATCCCCACTTCATTCGCAGCCTCCCAGCAGGGGATCTCCAGGGAGACCTCGGCTCCTGCTCGCGCGGTTCTCACCTTGCGCAGCAGGGAGCGGTCGAAGGGCCCGAGGGCCAGGGTGGCCGCCTGCCCAGCCCGCAGCACGCGGCAGGCCGAGCGGTTGCGCTGGATGCTGCACACCTTCAGCCGCAGGAACTTCCCATCGTCAGTGGGACCGACCACCAGGCTCTCCCCTTCTCGGCAGATCCCGCTGCCCAGGGTGGAAGAGCAGGACAGAGTTCGTCACGAGACAGAGAAGAAATGTCACCCTCCAAGATCAACCTGCACAAGCTCCCCAGGGCCAAGGAGGTCAGTGTCCTTGGACCAGCTAACACGGACGCAAAGCTGGTAGGAACAGGGGTTTCCCACAGTCGGAACAAAGGCCACTCTACCACTCCTAAGAATAGCAGGTATCCCTGAGATGGGGGCCACTCTGTCCCCCGTGCTCTGCCACACTGCATTGTTTCTGCTGGAGAGGCTGCAGCTGATGCCCGTTCTGTATGGATGTGCTGGTAGCCAAACAGCTCTGATTGCTCCCCAGCACTGAGGGACAGCTGCCTTCTTATGGGAGTTATCCTCTGCTGGGATTGAAGGACGTGCCCTCTACATTTCCTCCCCATGCCTGGCGAAGGAGGAATGCAGTGTCTTGAGATGATGGCTAACCCGTTTCAACCCTGGGTCCCAGCATGCCTGCCTTTGGCACGCCACAGGTCACACTCCTAACCCAGCAACCTTAGAGCAGACTCTCTGCCTGCCACCACATGAGCAATGGTCTGCTCATGGCATCTCCCAACACGCTGCAGGGCTTTACCCTCGCTTGGCTCAGTCATCTGGCAGCAGTCAGGACTGAGCCTCTCACTGCTCCCATCTGCAGCGGGTGACTCTAACCCTGTGGGAGCTCCAGCAACCATTCACACTCACACTCGTCTGCCTGGCCTCACTTACCTCGATAGAGTTCCTCCCACAACAGTCCCCACCTCTGGCACAGTGTAAATTTCATCAACCTGCAGCAAGGCAACAAGGTAGGCTGTTCAGACAGCTGCGAAACAGCACTCCAGAATGAGGACATGGTGCCCACCCCTTGTGTGGAGGGAGATCACTGCTGGTCATCAGGTGCCACCTCAGAGCTTTCATCACCTCCCACGACCTTCCCATTAAAGGAACCTCTGCCTTTTAAGTGGCAACCAGAGAAACAATCTTATCCCCGAGATGGGCATCCCTTGGTTAGGACAGAGTGCAGCTTAGCAAGTTTTTTTTGAGGAGTGATTCCTCTCTACACTTCTATGTCTCTAGAGTTCACCACACTCCTGCACACTCCTCCCCACGGTGTCCAGAGCCCCAAGATATTGCTGGAACATTTGACAAACAAGTACAGTACCAGAACTGGAAACAAGCTACCCTTACACACCTGAAACTCTGTGAGTTGCTGCATTAATTCTTCCTGCTCTTTACTGTTGGTCAGTGGAGGGAGGATGTTGAGGAAGACTTTTAACAGATCCAGGTTCTCCCCAGAAACACTGGACAGGGTGAAGATTGGGGTGATGCTGTCAGAAACAAACAGACAGGAATAAGCAGAAGGCAGAGCGCAGCTGCAGAAGGTGGCTGGAATTCTGAATCTACCGAGTCCAGCAAGAGGACAGAGACAGAGTGATAAATGGCCAGAGCAGAAGGGCACACAGGCTATGTACAACTGTGCAGTAATCTCTGCCTCAAAGGTTGGTTGAGGCGCCAATCCCCCGCCAACCCACACTTCTGTCATGGAAAAGGTACTCTGGTGCAGTCTCAGGCACCTTCTGCTCTCAGAGCCATGAAAAGTCTTGGGAGGGGAAAATGCCTTCTTGGAGAATGCAAAGGTAGGAAACTCAATGAGGAGCCAAGATGTCCAAGATGCAGTTGCCTCCCCCATGGTCACCCTTCCCCAGCTCCTCACAACAGCCCAGTCTGAACTGCCTGCTCCCAGAAGAAGAAATCGTCCCTTACTTGGGAGACTGTGCAAACTGCTGTGCTGCTGTGACAGCATCATCATCTGAGTTCACAAGCAGGGGGAGTTTGTTGCAGCCTGGCTGCTTCAGGATTCGCTCCAGCTGCTTCACCGTCCGTTCCACAGTGGCTTTTGAACACAAATCAACTTTGCTGATGACAATGAAGAAGGGGACCTTGAGGGCCATGGCTAAGCCCAAGTGCTCTCGTGTTGTGCCTGCTGCAGGAGACAAGTGAGAGTGTAGGTGCAGCAGCAGTCATCACCGTTTCTTGTTTTTGCAACAGCTGCGTTTCCTGGCTCTTCCACAGACCCACTCTAGAGATTTCACTCTAAATGCTTAGTTCATCAGGCAATGAAAAAGCAAAATTATTCTTCTAAATAAAACCAAACATCAGCCCAGAAAAATAAAAAAACACCAAGAATTTTTCTGACTTATCTATCTGCTTCAGAAAGGCACAGTTTTCATTCTTGGGCTAGGGTTTACCATAAAACAGCCACAAAAATGTCAAGGAAAGATGTGGGAGAAGTCCAGCTGCCTTTCTACAAGGCTTCAGGATTCAGCACCCCTAAGAATATGTCAAAGGTTTTTGGATTTTTTCTAACAAACCCAGCCTCAAATTCCAAACAAAGCCTTTCCATCCAGGGTAGTTTAATGAGGTCTACTCATTAAGAAAGAGGATCTCCACTCTGCTCTCTGCCCAGATCCTCACAGGCACTGCCTTACAAGAAATCAGGACAGGCTTCCAAGACTAGTATTTTTCTCATTCCCAGCCAACAAGGACCTACTCCCCCATGCTCCACTTCTCTACACACTTTGCTGTCAATCCATGCAGGCAGGACAACACTCACCAATGCCAGTGTTGGCGCTAACCACCAACATAGCGAAGTCCGGGCAGTAGCTGGTGAGGCCAAAGATGGTTGTTTTCAGATACTTGTGGTGGCCAGCCAGGTCAATGAAAGTGATCATTTTGGAAGAACTCTCACAGATTTCTTCTGCTGTTCGGGAGTCACTATAATTTACCACCTGAAGAACATAAGGACTCAGTGAGAAAAGGAGGCCCAGCAGGCAAGTGAAGAAACCCCAGATCTTATCTCTCCACTCTGACCTCAGAATTAGTGAGACCATTCACCATGGGTGCAAGAAACAACGTCCGTTGCAAGCGGACAAGTAGCACTCGGGTTCAGTTAAAGGGACACAAGAGCTGTGCCACCTCTCTTCCTTCATGTCCCACTCACAATTGTACCAGGAGGGCAGTCCTATTCTCCTCCAGCCTTCTGAGTTCAGCAGCCCACTCTCTCACCTCTCCTTTGCTGTTGAAGCCAAGGATCTCAAAGCTGATGCTCGATGTCCTTCCGGACTGGATTTCATGGAGATGCCGGAAGAGGTTGAGGCGTGCTCTGCCCCGCCCGTTGTCCAGCTCTCCTTGTGTTAGGACACCCAACAGGGTTGACTTCCCCGAGTCCACGTTCCCCAGCACAGCTACTCGCAGGTCTAAGAACTACAGGAAGAACAGCAGAGAAATCACACAACTTAACCACTGTTGTGCTGGGTGTGCATGAGCACTACATGGCAATGGATATGTGCCTCGGAGAACTTCCCTCCCCAGCTGACACTGTGCAGTGTCATCTTGTGCAGATTCTGCTCTTGCTCCCAGCAAACCACTGCCCAGGAACTGTGATATACTCCTTAAGAGTTGTGATGTGCCACATCAGGCTTTGATATCACAAAAAAGGTCATCGACTGCAGCAGGAACTCTGAAGCCTTCCTTGTTTGCACACTGGCCTGCATCATAACTGTGACCGTAGAAGTTAAATAAATTCTCAACTCTGATCCAGGCCACCTCTCCTGCTGGTATCTGCCCCAACCACAATCTCAAAGAGAAAAAGCGTTATCATCAAGCCTCCTCCTGGCAGCTCTTTAAAGTGTCTGCTACAGGCCAATCTATGACAAAGTGCCCCTAGGGTTTGGGCTTCCATCCCAAAAGGAAGCTGCTTGTATGAAGCCTCCAGGTCTCCAGCAGGAGAGGACGGCCAGGTTGTGGGTTCCTACCTGCTGGTTGTCAGGCACTTTTCGGACAAGCACCTCCGTTATCTTCCTCGGGACGTCGCTGTCGTAGTCGACCTCCCTCTCCCGCAGCACCGTGATGTCAGCTCCAAC